ATTATTTAGGCAACGTTTTATTTATTTGTGAGGCTATAGATTTTTTTTTTTAGACTAGGCTATTGTACTTTATATATTTGATTTATATTGAAGTGCTTGGGACATAGCTTTTAATGGTGAGATTTTTGTTTTTGTTATCAGGCTTTCAAAAATTATTTTTAAAAAGATTATTTAAAATTATTTAGATTTATCGGCCAATATATCGGTTATCGGCTTTCAAATAAAGAATTAACAGTATCGACCAAAACATTTTAGGATTACTGTAATTACTCATATCACGATTTTAGTCATAATGATTGAAATGTTAGGAAAATTGTTTGTATGATGCAGAATACTAATATTAATATGATAAGCTTGTTTTTATCAAACATGACAGGACTATACCAATGTTATTTTAGTGTTATTTATACACAATTATATTTTTATTCAATTCTTTTAATTTGTTTTTATAGTTACATTTTCAGTTTTGTGCATGTGCTTTTGTCATTTTTTATATTTATTTAGCTTTAATTTATGTTTCATTTCAGTTTTAGTAATTGTAATACTTAAAATATATATATATATATATATATATATATATATATATATATATATATATATATATATATATATATATATATATATATTTGAGTTAATTGCCAAGGCAACCTTTTTAAGTTAAGTTTTTCATTTAATATTTGTATTTTATTTTATTTCAGCTTTATTTGATTTAACAAAAACAACTTTTAGTAGTTTTAGTTAAAAATCACACAGATCAATGGTCACATGTAAATCCTGCATGCCTCTCTGTCTCTCCACCCTACAGCTCGTTGAAGGAATGCCTCTCAAGACCGGGAAAACCTTGAAATATAGGATTAATGGTCAGTCTTCAATGTTGATACATTTTCATTTTAATGAACTTGAGTTTTTGTTTTGACATTGATTGAAAAACTTATTTAAGTTTGGTTTTAAAATCTTCACTACCGGTACTCTATATTTGTGAGCAAACTGTTTGACGATCTCAGATTCTGTTCTTCGTCAGGTTTCTATGCTCTCCTCCTCACGGCTGTGGCAGTAGGTGTTGCCATGTACCAGGAGGTGGATCTCAGCTACATCCATGCTCACTTCCTGCAGTTCTACACCTCGGCTCTGCTCATCGTCACTCTTCTCAGCGTCTATCTGTTCGTCCGCTCCCGCTGGGCGTCTGAAGATGAGCTCGCTCCTGGAGGCAACTCTGGTAAGACGAATAGTGTGAGATCAAGCTGCGTTGACTGACTTTTCCCTTTTTGGCTCAGAGTATTTTTCACTTCTATGGCTTTTAAAGTTTCTCATACTCATTTTCAGGTTAAAATTGATCTTTCCTGTTACTTTCCTCAGTGCTAGCTAAAATAGACCAGTCATAGTTGTTTATGATTACAGAGATTGTTTATTTTATAGATATAGCAAGGAAGGATATGTCGGGTACAATTAATAGATTTAATATATATATTTTTTATTCCTCTAGGCTACATCATTTATGATTTCTTTATGGGCAGAGAGTTAAATCCCCGCATCAAAAACTTTGATGTCAAGTTCTTCTGTGAAATGCGCCCAGGTCTGATGGGTTGGGTGAGTATTGTTATTGTTTTTTTGCTCCCTCTTGTGGTCATAATGTTGCAATTTGCTGATTTCTTGTGATTCCTTAACTTTTCTTCCTTATTAAAGTATTCATTTTTAACCAATTAAAGAAGAACCATAATTATTGCTTGTTTCCACAGGTATTGATTAATTTTGCAATGTTGATCGCTGAAATGAAGCACCAGAATCTCGAGAGTCCCTCTCCAGCGATGCTCCTGGTCAACATCTTCCAGCTCCTGTGGGTTGTTGATGGTTTTTGGCATGAGGTACAACAAGAGTTTTCCAAAACAAACATAATTATTTCTTAATGCATTGTGGAAACCATGAACTGATTTGAATTAAATCACTTTGTGTTTCAGGAGAAACTTCTGACCATGATGGATATAGTCTACGATGGTTTCGGATTTATGTTGACGTTCGGAGATCTGGCTTTTGTTCCTTTTACATTCACCTGTCAAGCGTACTATCTAGTCAGCCATCCAAATGAACTCTCTGTATTTTGGATTGTTACCCTCATTACTATGAATGGTCAGTTTCTGACACATTTTCCTACTTTTTGTTCTTTGGCTACACCATAAAGTAAATTTGGATGCTAATTCAGCCAATAAGAACAGGATATTGATATGTTCAGACTTTAAACTTGAGTTTTTTTTTAACTTCTCCATCAGGAGTTGGATACTACATTTTCCGGAAAGCCAACTCTCAGAAGTTTGCCTTCAGGAAAAACCCTTCTGACCCGGCAGTGTCTCGTAAGTGTTTTAAAACGATAAAACAAAAGAATTAACATACAATGTTAAGACTGTTTGGTCTAACATAGTTTTATCTTTTATCTCATCAGACCTGAAAACTATTCCTACTGCAACTGGAAAGAGTCTTATTGTGTCTGGTCTCTGGGGGTTCGTCCGTCATCCTAATTACCTTGGTGATATCATCATGGGGTTTGCATGGTCTCTACCATGTGGTAAGTAATCGGATTCCTTTCACCTTTCTGATGAAATTAAGCTGTCTTATCAGTCTGTTTTGACTCGATTCCACCAATTTTATCGGACTTTTCCTTTAGGATTCAACCATTTGATCCCATACTTTTACCTGATCTACTTGATCGCTCTGCTGGTGCACCGTAATGCACGGGATGAGCGTCAGTGCAGGAAAAAGTATGGTTCTGCGTGGGAAGAGTACTGCAAAGCTGTCCCGTACCGCATTTTCCCTGGGATATACTGAAAACTGTTACGGACACTCGGGGCAAATAAAACTTTCCTCAGGATGACATTGAACATCAGACTGGGAATGAGTCGTTAGCTGTCTTTTTTAAATATTTGACTTTTTTCGCAATTGAGCACCAAATTTAAACCAAATTTTCTGCCTTGTCATGAAATATTTACGGATTGTGGACCCTGCTTCAGTTTTCAGAGCTTGATGTTTTAAAATGTATATTGTTGTACAGATGTGCTTCTTTTTTTCTTGTTTTGCATAATCCGTAACTTGCCATCTCATCTTATGTACACATATACACAAAGTATCTGCTTGGCTATTTACCGGTGACGTTTTTTTATGACAATTTGTGTAATGCTTTTGTATATTGTGTATGATGGGATATTCTTTTTAATATGTATAGTAAGAAAAGGTGTAATGTTCTTTCTCAGGACCAGCAATTTGTGAAGGAAAAAAAACTATATTTTCTTAATTTCTGTACATATTTAATACAAACATTTAGTTTTCACAAAATTTGGCTTTGCTACCTCAGATTTTCCTGTAAAAATGAGCATTTTTAAAAAAAACTTTTTTGTTTGTTTTGAAAACTGGTTTCCCAGTATCTTTTTCAAATTCTTAATTGTGTGCTGTGAACAAAACTATGAGCTTTGAACTTCAATCTTGTAAAAGGTAGCGTAACTTCTTTAGATTTTTAATAAGGTTTTAATTTAAAACAACAATGCTCAACTGTGAATGTGTTATGTAAAGCTTTTCTTAACGTATTACTTATGCATATGTTTTATGCAAGTATATCACTTGTGGGCATAATTGTCCTAATGATGAGCTGTAACTTAATCGCAGTGAAAAGAAGCATTGTACAATGTTATTTATCTGGTTAAATTTGAGGATGTTCAGTTTTGTTTATCTGACCAGCAATTTCTGTAAAATGTCATTTTTATTACCAATTATTAATTAAACCACTCTAGACAAACAGACTGCCATGTCTTGCTGCAAAATGAAATGTACAGATTTTTTTTTCTTATAGGTTGGTAGATGTTTTGTAGATATAAGCTGAATTTGACTGATTTGTTTCCTACTGTAGTTGTTAGTCTATATTTTACCATCCTCTTTTTATTCCACTTTTTTCCTGTCAATAACTCCACTCTCTGGTCAAATGACTTAACTGATAAAGGTGTTTTCAAAAGAAATGTATCTCGTTGTCACGAAATATATACAATGTTCTATTTCTTTTCCATATTTTTAGACTATTTGTAAATTTCATATAGCTGCTATGTGGTGAAATTTAGACGTTTAGAAGATGTCAGTTTAACATGCATTCTAAATCATTACATCTTAAAGACATCTTCTAAACGTCTATTTGACATCTGACAGGAAACGTCCTTTAGATGTATTGGAGATGAGCAAACACTCTTAAAAATACGCCTTCCAGATGTAAACATCAAATAGCCTTGTGCTATCTGGGCTGTATATGGTCCCCCAGTGGCTAGAAATTTCAATCAGTGTAAACTGAGCTTTGACTAACTTTCTCTGCCTTTGAGAAAATGAAAGCTCAGAAAGGCTGATCTTGAATCTCCCCTGTATGACGTCATACGGAGGAAAGGTAACCTCCCCTTTCTCTGCTTGAAAGTTTGACCAAAGCCCGTCTAACGGAGAGCCTTGGCACTTCCTATTAGCCCCATTGCGTATCATCTTGGTTGCAGTTCCATTAGAATTCCACTGGAGGTGATCGCGGGCGAGTCCTGAATGAATGGGAGTCTATGGAGCGAAACGGCTAAATGTGTCTCTCTCCTGCTTGTCATTGAATCAACATAGATTTTGTTGTTGATTCTGCAAGTTCAATATAGATTATAGGCCAAAAGTCGAATGAACGAGTACTTTTGTCCTTTCGATTTCTTACAGGTTAGGCCGTTGGCCGGAACACGCTAGCATTCTGCTGTTGTGTGATGTCATCACATTTTTGAACGGATTTTTAGAACAGATAAGTGAACTTAAAAATGCAATTTTCAGCTGAGTGTATTATCTTAGCCCTCCCTTTTGAATGCAACTTTCAAATTACTTGACAAAAAATTACAACCTGAGAAAAGTGGATTTCTGGGGGTGAAACCCCATAGACTCCCATTCACTCTGCACTCGACCGCGAGCGCCCTCGCATGGACAGAAACGTGTTACTGCAGCCAGTCCAGAAACCGGAAGTAACCTGGTTTGGCTCGCTTATGAGAAAATAAATGAGCTAGAAAATATGAATGCGAGTTTGAGTCTTTTTCTCGAGAGATATCATGCTTGGAAATGCGCCGACACAACTTCCCAAAGTTTTGTATGGTCCAAACATTTCACCAACGACTGTTTCCTCAACTTGGGCCAATACAGAGCTGGCCTCGATGAACATCTGAAAATAAATCGATCGAGCTAACAAGCAAGCAACAATTTCTGACGTGTAGCCTAATTGTTCAAGTTCAGACAGGTAAGTTAATCTCTCTCGAAATCATTCAATACTGTTAATGCATAAATAAAGCCAGTGACTAAAATGTTAACTTCAATCAAATCGTTTCTTTTAGTTGGATGAAAATAATCTTATTTAAATTGTGAACTATACAGAAAGCGATCAAAGAAAAATCTTTCCACACAGCGCGAGTTTATCTGGACAATTCGTTATAAAATCAATAACGCACATTACACTGCATAACGAAAATCATATTGTGTGCACATCTTCATGTTTGCGTTGGTGAAAGTCATCACGGCAACATTTTATGTGATGGAAATAGATATAATACTTTAAAAACTTCTCATGATTTGTTCATTTCGATAGCTGTTATATAAAACGTATAGTAGCTGTAAAAGTATTCGAGAGAGTTTCACATGTAATATGTTGCTATTTTATATGTAAGCATGTCAGCCAATCACAGCAGTGGCCAGTTACCCTGAATCCCCCAGCAGACACGCCCCTTCAAACTGAGCATTCAAATCATAGGCTAAAATCAGGCTAGGAAAAATGCCTTTTATTTATAAATTGACTATTTTTGATATTAAAAAAAACATATGGGCATTATAAGGGCAACCCACAAAACATTATAAAATAATAAAATAACCACATGTCTGGGGACCTTTAAGAGGTAGGGAGAAATTGCAGAATTACACTTTTAAACTTTAAAAGTAAGTGTTGGGTTTCAGCTTTTCCAAATCATCATTTGATGACACATAATTTTTTAAAGCAGTTCAAGTGTTTACTAACTAAGTTGCAATTATATATAGTTCATACTCTATATTTATATACAGAAATGGACCATGGTGAACCTTAGACAGTTTGTGAACCCTGTTTTGTTTAATATAAGTTTCCAAAAAGTCCTGTACAAACTTTACTGCCACTTACCCACGGTAGCTGTCACAGTTGCTAGGCAACAAGATTTAACAATGCTTCGTCTGATCTTCAAGGCCTTCGAAGGTTGTAGCCTCTATAGTCCTGCACACTTACTCTCTGTTTCGAGCTCTCAAGTGACCACCAAGACTGCAATTGTGGGTATTGGCACAAGCCCTTATACTCATCAGTGATATTCTTATGCATTAGCCACAGTCTAGCACTAGATGTCAGCAATGTGAAGTAGAATTGATGTAAGGTTTGCTCTGAGATAGGTCAGCTGGCATGAAAATGTTTATTGTGAAGGATCTAGTGTCAGAGCATTACTTCCCTCATCAAGGAAAATGACGAAGTGACTGATGCATGAAACCATTTCATTCCTTGGCCAATGCGCAACAAATGAAGTACCCATGAACGTGCACATTAGAAAGCTAATTGGTTTTAGTGTCATGCTAAATTGTGCTTTATTACAGGCAACATCTGTTAGCCTGGATCTGTGTGCAGCCCTTCTCACTTTCAAATTAGACTTTTCTTCTTACCAAAGACAATTTCCTGAGTTTGGCAAATTCAAACACATGATTTTTTTTTGTGTCTGTAAAACAACTCTTTGATCAAAGTCAAATATTGTTGTATCATGTGAAATCCAATCTGTATCCGTTCTCAACTAGTGTCATTCCAAGCTGAGTGCATTTATCATAACTCACCAGGGACTGATATAAAAGGATACCCATTGTTTCCTCTCATGCAGAGAGAGGTGGGCATTTTTAATAGAGTCTGGGCATTGGGGGTGGACTTGAATATGAAAATGTACATGACCTCTAGTAATATGGGGTTTTGTCTTCAGACAGAGTTCTTGTCTGAAGCCTGCTGCGCTTGATTGACTCCATTTGCAGTTTATTACACCACTGGAAATTACAGGAATTTATCCAGTCTTGCTTCTATATGGATGGCACCAGTGGCAGAGCTCTATTTGAGATGCAGTTTTATTTTGCAACAGCACATCCATCTGATTGGGGGTGGAAAGGGATTCACTGATGTTGAAAGTACTATGTGTATAGCTTTTTCACAAACAGTAAAACCGATGCACTTTGATTTCTCTAGCTGTTTGTGTTGTTTTGTTTGTTTACTCGATACAGAAATGAATAATTGTTAAAGAACAGATGCAGCATTAACACATCCCTATTAATCAGAATCACACAGGCATTTTTTTTATCAGCTCTGACTGTTCCTCTTTTTGGGTGGCTAGAGGTGGTGCGTCGGTTTTTCTCAGCTTGCAGTGCTGGAGAAAATTATAATTACGCTGCTCCAGATGGCTTGCATATTGTGTTGCTGTTGGCGGGCCTTGAAAGAGCTTTCGTCTTTATCGCGAAATAAAATCATCTCAGTGAGCAGACACGTCAAACTTAAAGACACAGCTATAATAACATCTCTGGAGGGTTGTGCGTTTCCTGTGGCCAGCCAGGCCTCCTCTTTCAAAGCGTTGGGGCCGTGAAAACGAGAGTGACACTGATGATGCTCGCGAGAAACTGAGAAACTGTGACTCGTTCTTACTGTTAATCCTGGCGGACAATGCCAAGAAAAGCCCAAGGGGAAAGCTGAATAAGGTCCTTGTCCTTATCAGCTCAGCAGGCTCTCCGAGGACTGAGTGATTGTGGCGCCTCCGCCGATCACTTGTGCTGCTCATCGACCTGCCCTATTATCATGTGTGCTCACTGATATAACAGTGACATCAATCTGCCGCGAACCAGACCGTACCTGTGCCAAGTTAAACAATCAAAGCCGTGCATAAGGTGCCCTGTGAAATTCACACACCCACACAAAAACGCATGTCCGCAAATTTTTCTCTAGGGATGCAGGAGTTCATTTGGCAGGGAAACCTGTCATGATCTGTGCATGTCATTTTTCTCACCAACATGCTGTGCTGGGAGTTATACAGAGCTCACACATTGCTAGAGGGGCAAACATTTCGGCTCATTTCAGACTTCTTCCGAGCTCAGAGCGGCTACTGGATTTGCGTGAAGAACCAGCGTTGGCTTTAGACGTCCATGGTCGCCAGGTAAGTCTGCATTAGTAATTTGCATCGAACACAAACAGTATGTCAGTTTTGAGGCAATGTGTGGGGTTCTCTTTGCAGTAATACCCCTAATGCTCTTTTTAGTAGGATTATATTGTCCTTCGTGGCATAATTAAATCACTGGCTCTGCGTGTTTTCAGGGATATGAAGCTGGTTGCGGGGTTAGCCGTGCTATGGCTCTGTGTTGCAGAGGCCGTGGAAAACTGCCCCAGTGATTGTAAATGCAGCCAGAAATCCAGTACGGAAAAGACTGAAGTCAACTGTCAAAAGAGGGGGCTTCAGAGCATCCCACCCAAACTCCCTCTGGACTCATGGATCCTAAAAATGGGTGAGCAGGAACGTTCTCAGTAATAGTGCATGGATCTTCATGGAACCTTAATTCACTGCGCACCTGTTCAAAAATGTACCGTATTTTTATCCAGAATAGCGCGTGTATCTTCACTAACATTCAAAGTTTTGGGATCAGTAAGTTTATTCAGCAAGGTTCAATCAGTTCTGGTCCCTAGATACAGCACAGGTTTTTTATTCAAAATATTTGTTTTGAAAAATAATAGTTTTTCACCAGGAACAGGTTAAACATGCTGAAATAATGCAGGCCGATTGCTTCAACAAAAGCATACCATCATTTAACAACCTTGCAGTTTTTAAAAATTGGAAAGAAATCCAAGTCCATTAAATCCAACCATTAAAAAACACCAACGCGTATCGGCCCGCTGGCCTTCATGGGCCGATACGCGTTGGTGTTTTTTAATGGTTTAGCCCCCGATTGTTAAATAAAGGCCTTTTTCACTTTTGTAACCCTGAGTGCCTGGACTTGGATTTCTTTCCAATTTTTATGAACTTTCAGCCCTTCCAAGAGCACCAGAGGATACAAGGGACACCAGCAGCGCTCCAGCTTCCTTTTGTTTAACCTTGCAGTTTTGTTTTTAATAGTCAGTTATTGTTAAAAATCAACTCCCCTTTGGAGAAAATGATTGGGAATTTTACTTCCGGGACCCGACTGTTGCACTCAAGTTCTCAACCCTATGAACATAGTGATTTTTGCGTCAGCGCCACCAATTTAACCCTCCTCTTTTGATTTCATTTATTTTGAAGGTGAAAATTTTCTGCAGGACCTCCCAGAAAACATCCTGACCGCCGTCCCAAAAATCGAGAGCGTAAAACTGGAGCGAAACTCAATCAAATCAATACACCCTCAAGCATTTGCTGGTGCCCAGCGATTGATGCTTTTGAATCTGCAAGGAAACCGGATTTCTAAACTTCCAGTGAAGGGCTTCAAAGACCTCCTAAACCTACGCTTTCTCATGCTGGGCCAGAATCAGATAGCTAGCTTGAAACCTAACATGTTCATTGGCATGAGGAACCTCTCAGAGCTGGATCTGCCCCTGAACGCCCTCACTGCCCTCCCTCCAAATGCATTCAAGCCTCTGATTGCCCTCAAAGTTCTGGACTTTTCCTTGAACCGCATCCAAAGGATCTCGCCCAAAGCCTTTGTTGGACTTGAAGAGCTGCTTTTTCTCAACTTGGACAACAACAAGCTGAAGAATATTCAAGCTGGGACCTTTGGTCCCCTGATTGGCCTTGAGATGCTGGTACTGGACAACAATTTGCTCTCCACACTTACCGCGTCCACACTAGAAGGTCTTTCCAACCTGCAGGAGCTCTATATCAGAAAGAACGAAATTGAGAGCCTGCCATCTGACGTATTCCGTCACACACCTAAACTTACTCATGTGGGCTTAAATGGGAATCGACTTCATGCCATTGATGGCAACATGCTGGCCAACATGCAAGGTAAGAATTAGGATTTTAAAAGTGGACTGGGTTGCCTGAATGACCAGCTGACTATCAGTTCTAAGCAAACACAATCCCTGCAAACAAATTTATGTTCTGGGAACGTTAGTTTTTGGTTCCCAGAACGTTCCTAGAACTTTCCTTTAAGGTTAAGGGAACGTTCCCGGAACATTCTCCTTACCTTATAAAAAGGAACCTAAAAATAACCTACATGGAACATTCCTATAACGTTCTTGTTTCGTTCCCAAAAAAATAACCTCATGGGACCATTCGGGAACGTTAGGGGAACGTTCTGTGTCTGCTGGGATATTATTAGGCTGGTTTCTGGTTCCCAGTTTCTTAGGAGGGTATTGCCATAAGACATGCTTCTGCTTTTATCTAGATGGAGTACGATGTAATAGAACAGAATATAGGTGTCTCAAGATGATTTTTACTGTCAACATAATTGCTAGTAGAAAAAAAGTTCATAACATGTTTGGTCAAAACAAGAAAAATTTACTTTTCATTCCTATCTGTTAAGTGTAACACATTATTGAAATCTCTGATTGATTCAGGGTTGAAGGAGGTGTATCTGCACGATAACCCATGGAAATGTGACTGCAGTATCAACTCACTGGTACATTACGTAGCCCAGACGAGGGCTAATCATTCGCCACTGCAAAGACTTCGGTGCGTTAGCCCAGAAGAGTTTCGTGATAGACCCATTCACCAGCTGAAAGCTGAGGAACTTCCCTGCAGGGCCTAGAAAATCCTCAAGTCTGATATCATATCACGTGCGACCTCCAAAAGTTGGAAGCGTAACACAATAACAGCGTGATATTTTCTGTAATTGAATAGTGGTGCTTCACATAACTCCAACCACAATGACTTTGACAGGTTAATGATAGTGCTGCTGTACTGCAGATAATCTTAACTTTCACCCACACCAGACCACCTCGAGAGGCTTTCAGCATACATCCTACAAAACTAAAGGAAGAACTGTGCATCTGGTATTCCCAATACAGAAGAAATGTCATATTTTTTGTAATATAATATTAATATATTTTCACTTTCAACTTAATATTACAAATGATTTTCTTAAATGCATTATTTATCCACAATGTGTTTTTTATTGTCCTTCATCACCAAAATATAATCCCTCTAAATAATGTTTGTAGGTGAGTATAACTGCTGTATTTTATATTTACTGTCATTAAACCTATGTTTACAATTAGTTATCTATATGAAGTACACAGTATACACAATAAACACATCTTGACTCTGCAAATGCATTATGTGCGAATCATTTTTTGTTGTTGTTAGAAGCAGTGAAGCTTAAAGGAAATAAATAGAGGTTAGAAAATCCCCTCTTGCTCAGAGACCGACTGCAAACTTCCACCACCACCTGAGACTGAATTCCTCATCGGATTGTTACAGCTGAATAAGCTTGCTTTGAAATCATCATTCTGTCTCTAAATTCCACCCAGAGCGCTGAAGCTGCAGTCCCACATTTCAGATGCTGGGAATGTGTTACAAAGCAAGCTGCTTTAAAACTTACGCTTCAGTACTGCTACAGTTAACTAATATTAAAGAGGCGGTTCAGAATTTTGGACATGGGCCTCATTTCCAAGTTAGCCTTAGTATTATTTATCAGTGGAAACAGTTTGCATCCAGTCGTTCCAGTTTCATAGTTCGCCAGTGCTAGGCTAGCGCGAGTCAACGGTAACTGCTAGCCTGCCATTAAATACAGTTTTACCCACTCCACAGTACACTAAAAGCAAATAAATTATAACACTAGACTATCAATGTAATGTCTGTTGAGAAAATAATGTTCAAACTACCCTTTCATTGCATTGCAGTAGTTTGTTCCCTGTATTTATTAGCACAGTCTACTGCAGCGGCGGAGTGATATGTAGTTGCAATGCATTCTCATCCCAAGGCGTCATATACGACACTTTTGCCAAAGTGTAGACATCGAACGCACATGGCACCCTTTAGCGTCAAATGAGACGCTTCGGTTATGGTAGGTTTAGGTATGGGGTAGGGTTAGGGTTAGACCACTAGGAGGCACCTTCTGCCCCATATATATCTGCGTCTCATATGACGCTAAAGGGTGCCATGTGCGTTGGATGTCTACACTTTGGCAAAAGCGTTGTATATGACGTCTTGCGATGAGAACGGGCTTGTAGTTACCTAGGCAACCGAGAGGTAGTGAGAGAGAGAGAGGTAGTGAAGGTAGTTCTGACTGTAGTGCGCTTCAGTTCTGTTTACTTTTCGGTGCAGTACTACTAACCGGAGCAAAGTAAAGTTCCGCCGCTGCTGAGAAACTAGTTCCTGTAAGTGTATTGTGATCATTGAGATGCAAGAGTAGTTTGATTTTTAACACAATTCTCTTAACAGACATTACATTGATAGTCTGGCGTTATAATTTATTTGCTTTTTTTGTGCTGTGGAGTGGGTAAAACTGTATTTAATGGCAGGCTAGCAGTTACCGCTGACTCGCGGTAGGCTAGCACCGGCGAACTATGAAACTGGAACGATTGGATGAAAATTTTTGCCAACTGTCTCCACTGATAAATAACACAAGACTAACTTGGAAATGAGGCCCGATGTCCAAAATCATGAACCACCCCTTTAAATCAAACTGGCGGTACAGCATTTCTAAAATGTATTCATAAAAATAAAATAAAAAGACATTAAATCGGAAAATTGGACATTACATGAGATTAGACATTTAAACACAAAACAAACATGTATCTGTGTTGAAGTATATAAAATATATACAGTATATACACATACACAAGCTACAGTGTTTTTGCTGATATGTCTAAAATACTACAAAATCCTGAACCACCCCTTTAAATCGAACTGGCGGAACAGCATTTCTAAAAATCTATTAATAAAAATACAATTAAAAAGTGGACATTACTGGAGATTAGTCACACATTTAAACACACACAAACATGTATCTATGTTAAAGTATATAAAAATATACACATACACAAGCTATACAGTGTTTTTGCTGATATGTCCTAATACTACAAAAACACTAAAGCATGCAATATTTTCACACTCGGATGACTGTATATCTACAGTCTAACTTTCAAAACAAAATTACTGGTGCATTATGCTATTGTGCATAACAAGATACTCCTTTAACACCTAATTTCCCCCAGCGTTGCCATGGTAACCGTTGCTTATAGTAGGGAGCTCCTGCGGATGCTTTACCCCTCACTGCATCAGCCCCTCAACCAGCTGTTACAGACTCAGAGTCCTCTAACCAGCTCGCTTTCACTAGTAGATTTACAATGACAAATTGGCATGATTCTGGCATCAAATAAACAGCTTTCCAGCAGCTTACATTAATCACAGCTTGAGAAAACCCACTTGAATTGCTGAATATATCTACATTAGCAGGGATGCACTGAGATAAAGATAAACTGTGCTTACTCTTGTAGTGAGCATTGTAGTGGGGATGTCATTGGTAAATTTACTTCTCATTGAGGCCATATTTGACTGAGATTACACAATCAATATAGTAATAGTGATATAACCCTTTATTCATCACATAGCATGGATGTTATGTCCTTTTTTAACCCCTAAAAGACCCATTCGTCCTTTCTTTTAGGACTGTATGACCTAGCTTAATATGCAACCCAACATTTCATTCCCCTAAAAAATGGGTCTGTTCAAGCTTTACTAAATCCTGATGAATGGGTGGCAGTGTTCTTTGGTGTTTAACCTTTTTAATATTTGAATATGATTAAGAAACCAATTTCAGGCCTTAATTAGAAGCATGCAATTTTAAAGGTACAGCCTTTTAAGAATGAAATGCTACACTTGCTGTCCGGAAAGTACTGCGTAATTGAAGCAATTTTACAGTGTAACCTTCGGTAATTATAGTGTACCTAACTTACAATATAAGTATAAGGGAACAATATTTTAAGTTTGGGGGAATAAAGGGGTAACAACCAGAAGAATTAAAAAAACATTTATACTGTAAGTATTATAGAACTAAGGAGTACATATTCTACTATTATGATCCAACAATCTACATACTGTACAGGCTTTTTAAAAATTACAGGGTACATATATGCATTTATAAAGTAATCTTTTAACAAACGTGCACTGAAAACGAAAACTATTGCAACTTTTGCTTAAATATTGTTGAAAGATACATCTTACATCACTGACTCGGAAATCTTTATTTATTATACAAGCACCACTGATCCTGTAATCACATAAAACAAGATATATTTCCCAGTATTTAAACAATTTGCAATATCTTTTCTTTATTTATATATATATATATATATATATATTCTAATATTAAAAATAACAGTTTGTGGTTTACATAATATATGTGGGTGCACTGTGTATAATTATTATATATATATATATAGATATAGATATATACAGATATATATATAAATACACACATATGCTTGTATATATTTAAGAAATATTTTCATGTATATAATATAGATTTATATATAATTTATATTATATATAAATATAAATATTCTATGTATAAATAATATTTATTTTTCTTAAATGCATGTGTGTGTATTTATATATGTACAAAATAATTATACAGTACCACTTATATTATGTAAACACAAACTTTTATTTTGGATGCGATTAATCGCGATTAATCGTTTGACAGCCCTAATATATATATATATATATATATATATATATATATATATATATATAAATTATATATAACTTTACATATTGTTCCCTTATACTTACATGCAAGTACTTTATAGGAACACTATAATTATACCTAAAGTTACTCTGTAAATTCCTCTTAATTACACAGTACTTTCCGGGCTGTAATGTAAAGCGTTACCGCTGCTTTTTCTAAATAAGTTAAGACGAAAATGCCCTGGAGGTTGGCAAAATGATCTGTAATCTTGAGGCTTATTTTCAAAGTGAAACATCCCCACAGCATGATGCTGCTGATGCCATGTTTCACCGCAGGTGCGTTATTAGGCCAGGTGTTGAGCCATTTTAGTCACAGCTCTAGGCATTCCTAGGCTGAAGAGTTTTACGTTTATTTCATAAGACCAGAGGATCTTTTTCGTCAGGATCTTAGTCCATTAACTGCCGTTTGCCAAACTTTTCTTTTTAACTTAAGACTGATTTCCATCTAACAGTTTAACATAATGACCTAATGATTAATGAAAACATATGCAGAGATGTTTTTTCCCATTCCAGTAGGTCCCGCAATAGCTCTAGTAGCCTGTAGAGTGTCTAATTGAGTTGTTGGTCTCCTTGTCTACGTCTACAGCCACTGGAAAGGTCGGTGCGGTATTGTCTTTTGTCACTTCAAAAATAATTCGATTTTCTTTCCATCTGTTCCATCAAGGGTAGAAATTTGTAGTTAAATTGAATTAACATGGAAAAGTGCATTTCAAAAATCAAGAAAAATATATCTACTTCCAGACAAAAACAGAGGAGCTAAAGTAAAGTATCAGCATTTCCACTCTTTTCATTGCCCACTTGTGAAATGTGTATACATCATTTCTAATCTAGTATGGTTGGAATTTTGTTAAATGATTTTTTTAAAGGGATATTTCATCCTAAAATGAAAATTCTTTGCAAACCTGATTGACTTTCTTTCTTTCTATAAAACAATATTTTGAGAAATGTTTGTTTTTTGAATTCATATATACAGTAGGGCACCAAAACTGGTTATCAACATTCTTCAAAATGTCTTCCTTTTTGTTCCATAGAAGAAAGTCATAGATATTTGGAATGAAACAAGGGTGACCGAATGATAACGGTTTTCTTTTTTGGGTGAACTATACCTTTAAGACAGAGTTTAGTATCTAATGAATCACTAATCAAATAAGATACTGTTAATGATAAAGCACTGTGTTTGTGTGAATACGACTCCCAAAAGTCAAGTTTTTTTTACAATAAGGTTTAAAATAAGCTCTTGGGAAACATCTCTGTCTTCGTCGTGAACACTGATCCTTGAGGGGAAAAAAACATTAAGGGATGTTTTGTAGGTGGAGAGAAGTCTTTCATGGTTGGTGATGATTACAGCACAGTAAAATTCAACAGCAGCATACCTCTGGATTCACTGTTTGCAGAAAAAGATACTAATGATGTGCCTTGTGAAAAAAAAAAACTCCCACTGTATGGCGACAACAAAGAAACCAAGGAAGGGGGCTTACATTGTCTCGGAGCTACAGTATATGCAGGTTGTGGAGTATAGAATTTTTTATTTTTGTGGAATAAATTGCTCAAACACAGTTCATATTTTACCGAAATCAATAGA